CCGTCTCACCTTGGTTAAACAATACTGTTGAAGCGGACCTCTCCACCTTACCGTTTTGCAAGTCAAGGTCTACTGCACCGATAGTGTAATCGCTAGAGTGGGCTACCTTCACTGACTCAGCTCTTGCGAGCATCAATCTAAGTGTGTGTGTGTGTGTGTTTTCGCAGGGGTGCCAAACTGTTCGTACACATGCAGAAGGGGAAGGTCTCTCAAAGGCAACTTAAGCACACCAACTAGGATCGGCTGTCAATCGCAGGTGGGCCTGGAAGTCTCTTCCCTGCTGCCCAGGTGCACCAGCCACAAGCGCTGCGCCGGCAAAGTCCCGCTTCTCAACCAGCACTTCTCTGCCTGCAAGGTGCCCACGCAAAGCAATTCTCAATGGCAGTGGCCAATCCGAGTCGAGACGCCCCAAGGTATCCGACGCGGTTGCCCTGTCAACGCACTCGGCCCGTCCAGCCACTGCTCCTTGCAAAAGGAGGAACGTTCTCATGTCACTTGAGTTGTGTGCCTTGTGTGCATCACTCAATTCAGCGACATGGGCACCTCATCGCCTTGCCAATTCAAGATTTTCAGCTTCCTCAAACCAGCAGTCAGCATTACTCCATGGATCTCCATTGTAATGTTACATTCAACAACTCGGTGATGAGAAAACAAACTCAAGCCCAGCAGCAGGGGCCAGTAAATGGCAAGCACGCGAGGTACGAGCTCTGAGGAGTCCATGCTATGCTGCAGTCAACCACATTTCCGCTTTGCAGGCTGCAAAAGCTGCAACAATGTCGACTTGAACTTGGTGAAAACTGATTTGAGCCCGGCCCTCACTGTTGGCTCTTCACACTTCGTTCGCCTCCGACTTACTGTCTTACTCCCTTGCTTTGCCTTGCGGACTAGCATCATACAAAAAGGCTGATGCCAAAGGCATATGCTGCGACAGGCGGCAACAACATCATAGCCAGAATGCACAGAAAAGCATGAACATCGGACCCCAAACACCCCTCAAATCCTCCACTCCCGAGCATAACACGTCCGCAGAAGCATCGTTGCCTGCTCAGAGTTTACAGTAGGCATTTGGCAAAATGTGACAAGCGGTGGATGGGACAAGCGGCATTCCCTGCAAAAGCCACACGACAAGCCTTCAGCTGCGTCACCGTTTTTGACCATGCCACCTGAAACTGCAAACTTCAGGCCTTGCAATAAACATCTCACATTCTCAGCAGTCCCTGGCCTGTGGTTCAAAGTGAGAATCACGAAAGTGGATGATGTGACAGTCTTAATTGTCTTGCTCATTCCTTCCACGCCTGTGATTCGTTCCGTACCACAACAATACACACCTAGAGAGAAAAATTAGTGTTTTTGCAGTTTTGCACTGCTCTGATTCAGTCCAGCTCTCATGGCATTGATTGGAGGGTCCATGTGCTCCCGCTTTCCTGTGCGCTGCTCTGCTGCTCTTGTTTTGTGAGCCAACTTCATCCGTGCATGTGGTAGCTTCAGCCATGATTCTGAGCATGTCCATGGATGCAATCGATGAAATCGCATGGCTCACTACGGTAAGTGTCTCAATTGCAACCTCGACGGCATTTAACCTTTGCTCTCCCACAGGTTTGCTACCTGCGGCCCCCAGGCGCCCTTGCTTTGAGGTCACCTGGGTGGCTTCGCTGGCTGCGCCAAGCCTGTGCTACAAATCCAGTTGCCTTTCAAAGGCTAGCCTGGCAGTGTTGCAAATCCGTACTCTCAGGATCGATCGAATCGCTGCGCCGGTGTTTCTGCATGGATCTCTACTTTCCGAATGTCGCCGCATCTGCCCAGGCTGCTTGCCAGGCAGGCCTGCTGTGCGGTCCAAAGGAATGCATGCTATGCGGGGTGTTCTCCGATATGATCTTGGGACACCAACTCATCAAAGTAAAGACCAAGAACTGCATGAATGCTGGAAAGCCATGGATACTCATCCTGACCTTTACCTTTCTTGGAGTTGCGTGACAACATCTAAGCAGCCATACTTCCAAAATCTCTCAGGCCTCTCTGCGAGGCGTGCTAAATAGTCAAGCAAGACCTGCAACATGGCAACACCCAGTGACTTGGATTGATGGAAAATAGAACATGTTCGCAAGTATGATCGGCCTAAGCCTCACACTCCATGTACCTTCTCTGGGCTAATATAATCAATCCAATGGCCCGTTGGTCAACTCTTCACTCGACACAAGTCTTCTCCGTGATCCTTGCTTCAGACTCACTACTACATCCTATCCTGTTGGCTTCGTGCCCAGGCTGCCAGAGCCATCAAAATCAGAGCTGCAAATGCCACACCTGTCCATAAAAAGGCTCCATGTCCATGTCCACTTCCCGCCTGGCTTTCACAGAGTCCATATGCTTGGCTCCACTTGAGGTTATGTCCCATGATGACGTCCGCAGATGTGAACTGCTCACCAAGGAGGTACTTATTGCCTGTTGCCTGACCGCAGTTGATAGGCGAAGTGCTGGTCAAAAGTACTAAGTACCACCCAAGCAACAGCGATGCAGCACATCAACAGCTTCAGATGTTTCAGTGCCATTCTGAAGTTGGAACTTTCGAAGCAAACGCAAAGGAAAGGCCACTTTGGGTCAGCACCTTGTGTCCACCTTTGTCATAATCAAGTCCAATGACCACCACATGTTTGTTGACTATTGGTATTGCAGGGGCCGCCCTGCCAATCCATACCAATTAGCAAGCAACGCTGCCTCTATTTGAGCCACAATTTGAGGTTCTATCTCCTGAGTCATGAAGCGTTGAGCCAAGTGGGAACAGGTCTCTGTGGAGAATCCCATGTTTATAGCGTTTGAACTGCCCTACGTGTGCTGCCCTCTCCCCTAAAACCGTTAGAGTCCAAGCACAACAGGCAAAGCCACAAATTTGTTATACTTTATTTGCTTCATGGCACTTACAGTAACTACATGGTGACATGCAGTCGATGGCGTGCTTGCGGAGTTCTTTAACCTCGCCCCAGTTTGCAAAAAAAAAAAGTTGTGCACTGTTGTGCCCTTGCAAGGAAACCTTGCTTATTGAGTTGCATGCTGGATATGTTAAATGTATAGCTATGATCAAAAATACATAATGCATCATATCTCTGTTGCCCACTTCTCAAACAATATCTTGATACACATGATGCCTCCAAGTTAAGCAGAGCAATTCCTTGCAAGGACTCCAAGGGACAGTCCTTGATCCACTTTGCTTTGGTCCGATCGACTACACGGCTGTCTTTCTGATCCGCAGGAAGAATCCCACTGGAGTCATGCTGGCGGAGCTGCCACAAGAGCTGGTCCATCCAACTTCCAGAGAACCACAGCCATTTCCTTAGGTGAAAACTTTGGAACGACCCCGTATGATTGGAATTAAAGTTTGGTGCAGCAAAACCAACAAGGAGGAGATCAAACAAATTTTGTGAGTGGGTTGCATGAAGTGATTTCCCCAAAAACACGTCCAGCTTTGGACTGAAATGAATCTTCAGACTTAATGTGGAAAGCTTCTGGTAATCAGCGCGCTCCTTCGAAAGGCCAATTGGTGGGGCAAGCTGCCCTGCAGCCAATGCCTCTGTCAAGAATTCTACAATTCCGCAGGACTCAAAAACTGCTTGATCCTCACCAGATGCATCCTTGTAGAGCAGGACCGGTAGAGCATGGTTTGGGTTCATTTTCATGAACTCCGGGGAATACGCTTCTCCCTTCATCAGCTCCACCCGCTTGCAAGTGACATTCACCTTGTCTCCCAGCTCATGAAGTAACCATAGCACTCGAGTTGAGCGCGTTCGGGGATAATGATACAAGGTCACTTCCAGGGGGAGGGCAGCCATGAGAAGACACCGCGGACTTCCGTCCAGCTAGAACAAACCCTATCAAACCTCTGAGCCAACATGCCACCGCTTGGCAGTCTTTCAATCAAGTGACCTTTCCAATATATGTTGGCAATGCCTCAGTAAATGCAGTCCTGATCGCCAGGGTTATATTATATATATATGTGTGTGTGTATATATATATATAATTGTCGGCTTTCTGCACATTCTGTTGCTGTGTAAGAGGATCCCAGCCCTATCGCCGTTTCTTCAGCATCGATGCTGAGGGCTCCAATGGGTCAAGAACTTGCCCGGCCTCTCTCTCTCTCGCTCTCGTGATCGATTTTGCTGTGAAGGCGACTCAACCGATTTGAAATCGACACTGGGATGAAGAATCTAGCTTCCAGTGTCAAAAATAATCGAGTGCCAGGTCCTGCTGGATTGTCCAACCAGAACGCATTGCCTTTTTTCAAACGGTAGCTAAACTAGGCGTAGTCTTCTCGACTGGCCTTGTGTTAACAGCTGGGCTCATCGCCCAAGAGACATCATTTCACAGACGTGCGCGGCTTTAACACCAAGCGCGGGCGTCCACCAGCAGGATCCTACGAGTCAGTAGGAAGAACCAGCCGCAGCCGAAGCGACAAGGAAGAACCAGCCCGTCCTTCTGCAATGCTGCGGGTGCTTTCGCGCAAGACCTGCAGAGTCTGACGCTGCTGGATCATGCTTCGCGCTCAACACGTTTGTGCGGCTTCATTGCTCAGAGCATCACCCATGGGTGGCCTTGATAGAATTTGACAACGCGTGCAAAGCATCCAGCAAAAAATACGACTAGTTTCCCAGGCTGAGAGACTTGCATCCTGACTGGGCATAGGCCTTGCATCAAGAATATTCCCATGGACGGGCCAACTCCCACTGGAATTTCTGAGCTGAGCACGGTGGAACTGCTCATGGACGGGCCAACTCCCACTGGAATTTCTGAGCTGAGCACGGTGGAACTGCTGGTGCAGGTGCTGGGCGCATTCCTGGAGATGCCTTGGCCAAGTGGCGCGCGAATGTGTAGACTACCTGCTACCACATCCAGACCACACCATGAATCAACCCCTCAACATTTACCTCCCCTGAGGCAGGAGCCGTCTGTGCAGGAGCCTCAATGCCAGCCATCCCACTTAAATGGAAGTGTTGCAAAGAATTAGAAAATACAGCACACGGAACTGAACACTCTACAAGTGGCCAATAGCATGTGATTAGACACAGAATGAGACAAACAAATTGAGGTTTTTTGGTCGCTTCACACTTTGAAGCCTCCCGTGTAGCTGAGTCCTCTGTTTCAAAGGAATCAACACATGCACCGCCTTGCACCGCCGAGGCTTCGAAGCATCTCGAAGCCCTAGCCGGCTCTCGGAGGACTCACCGTTCGGCCCAGGACACGAGAGCAAGCTTTGGCCCTCAAGTCGTTGGTACGCTCACGCTCGGCCTCCAACTCCCTCTTCAGCAATCGGCACTTGGATTTGAAACCTTCCAGTGTGCTGGGCTCTGACATGCCCAGAACTGCTTCTACTGCTGCCGTTCCGGGTCTGCCAGATCTGGTGCCTGGCCGTTCAGGCAGTCCCAAAGAGCGACGCTTCTGGGAGAGAAGAGCTTCCAAATCTGAAACCTCCAAGCGCATCTTGCGGTTTTCTTCAGCCATGGAGTGCATGGACAAATTCTCTTCTTCAAGCTTGGCTAGTCTCTTTTGGAGCGCAGCGCTTCCCAGAACAGGCTCCTGGGCATCCTTGCGAAGTTGCTGGATCTGTCGAGTCAGATTCCCACAGTCAACTTGGGTTGTCTGCAGTCGAAGCTGCAAAGCTTGCACATACTGCTGGAAGCGTGCAAGACTTTCCTGCTTGTCCTGGGTGATCGTTGGTGCTTCCCACACTTCAGATTTGTCAGGCGATCTCGATCGAGCTCTGGAGCTACTGCGTGATCCTCTCCGAGAGGAGCGTGGCCGCGACTGGCTCCTCGAGCTTCTCTCGGTCTTCACTGGAGCCATTGGCGCCGTCTTCGGCCGCAAGCCGTAGGAACTTCCAGGACGCTCCTCAAACCCGAACTCCTCGGCGCAAAGGAAAAACTCGGCCGCCAGCTGTCGATCGACATTCGTGATGACTTCACCATCCAACTCACGCAAACGAGGCAAGCCACGCAAGAGGCCATGGCGATGAGAAGCATCTTGGAAGCAAGGGTTGCCTCCTAAATCAATGGACTCCAACTGAGGACAGGCCTGTAGGGTGGCCAGCGCCAGGTCCAGGTCAGGAAGGACGTTTTGGAAGAGAGACAGGCGTTGCAAGCTAGGCAATTTGTCCAATCCATCAACCTCGCTGACTTGGTTATTGGCAGCTAGTAGCACTCGCAACGCACCACACTCCACCACAGGAGAAAGATCTGTAAGCTGATTGTGATTGACGTTCAGCTCCTCCAGGGCTGGCAAATCAGCCACTGCTGTGATGTCAACAAGTGCATTGTGCGACGCCGACAAGATCCGCAGATTGCCCACTTGCAAAAGGTCAATCTGCAAAGTTGTCAACCCCTTGCGTCGAAGAATCAACTGCTCAGGCTGCTCCTCCTGATCTGACCCCTCCATCGCAAGAGTGGCAGGTGACGGAAGTTGTTCTAAGGAATTGCTGGTATTTCTGCCGAACAGCTGTGCCACTTGTTTTGTACTACTGGCCATTCCTTCTTCCCTGCGTCTTTTTTGTCATATAGTTGGTGAGGCTTGAGCATTTTGGGCTGTGGTTTGACCTGTGAACCACCGGATGTAAGCTGAAGTGTGTCCTAGCTCGCCAGCTTTGGCCATCTGACCAAGCTCGCAGCAGGTCGCGCAGGTGGAGAGGATACCTGAACAGAGTTCAATCCGAATCGCAAAACGAGCAGGCAGCGTCGCTGGATGTGCTGAGGCCTGGACACGTACGGCCGCTGGGTTCACTGATGCCACAGCTGGTGGCGGTTCGGTTCGCTTCTTGAGAACCAACCTGCTGCAAAGCTTGGTGTCAAGCAGTTCATCCTGTATTTCACGTAAACGTTCTCATGCTTGCCTGGGCCGTCCTCCAGCTGGGTCAGGCTGCATTGCAGGTTGGGCCTCTGCTGCGAGACTTGCGACTCTGGTCTCTGGTCGGGTTGTTGCTTCAACTTTCCAAGACGTTCTACAAACTCTCCCGAGATATCACAAATGGGAAGAATCAGAGCGCAGCAGGTGGTGGTTCAGCGGGCTGTGATTGCTCCACGGGTGCATTTGCACTGGCAGCCTCAGGATCTCAATGAGCTCATGGAATAAGCCATGAGTCACCATGAGTCTCCTGCTTGTCCTGGAGGTCCAAGCCTGACATCAAAGCAAGGCCATGCAACCAGTCTCTCACATCGCCGGAAAGAAGTCAACGTCTGCCTTGGGTCTCGCGGCTTCAACTGAAGCTTTGGACGGCCACTGGGAGATACCACCCCATTCCTGAGCGGCTTGGTGGCCCACAAACAAGTACTGAATGACAATTTTGATCAATTTTGTGAATGAAAAGAATGACACCAGGTCACCAGGTTCTTCCGAATTCTTCCCACAACCAAATTTCAGACTTGGGAACGTGCTGCACAGCTTGTTGCACCGCACCTACCACCTGAGAAGGAAAAAGCGTCTCGATTGGCAGGTGCAAGCTTCCGACCCTTGAAATCCACTTTTAGCAGCTAAGCAGCCAGTGTCTGCGTGACGGGCGGGGAGCAAGCTCGTTGCTGTGAACCCACACTCTGGACCGGCACTTGCTGTTTGCATTGCATTGGAACGGCTGGTGCTAGGTTCGTCGGGCTTGGAGCTGTGTTGGCTCGCTGCCTGGATTGGGACACTAGAACCTGTTGGACTGGGGCAGCGGCAAGGCCTTGGACTATCTGTGACCAAGCTGGCTTGGGTGCATCTGCTTGAGGGGCCGAAGCCTGCTGCACCTGCTGCACCTGCGGCACCTGGGGTCGGGCTGGATGTTGCACTTGCGTCTGGGGCTGGGGTTGTGCCTGTGGCGGGGACTGCAGTTGCACCTGCGGCTGCAGCTGGGACTGCGGACGCAGTGGGATTTCTGGCGACTTCATGGTGTGTTTCGGTTGTGGTTGTTGTGTGCTCGAGGGGGCAGTTGCAATCGGCGCAGCCTCAGGGCAATAGCGGTAACAGATTTTGTTCAAGAGAAAATGTTCTTGTCTGTATTTGTCTGTGATACTGACCAGTGCAGGATTTCGAGGCTTCAAGACCTAAGCAAGGCTGATCAAGAAGGGACAGATCGTGTCTCCTTTCCTTCTCGAACACAGTGAAATGACAACCCAATCCCATCATTTGACAAAGGGTAGGCATTGAGAGAAAAGAAAAGAGAGGAAAACTGGCTGCGCAGTGCTTCAGCTCACTGAGCTTCCCACAAGCTTGGGCCTGCCATCAGTTGACCATTGCAGCGCTCGCCTCAGTTGGTTAGCAGTCTGAATTGGCTCTACAAGGTTCAAATCAAAGAGTCTGGGCTCTGTGCTCTGGATTGTTGGAGGTGCTCTGAGATACCTGTGGATTGACTTGCTACCCCGAACATAGAAGCACTGCTTGTCATACGCCGCCTTCTCCCAAGGACCTGGTGGGCGTGTTTCTGCCTGCACATCAGTCCAACAAGTTGCACTAAGAACACACAGAACTCCCGGCGGTACCGTGTTCACAGCTGGGGCTGCAACTCTCATCATTACTGGCTCTGGCGGCCTGGCAGTGACACTGGTGAAACGAGGTGAAACTTGGAAGGCCTGAGCAGTCAAGGGTGGGTGAGTCTACAAGCTGGGCGAACCTAATGACAGGAGGCGTCAGAAGCTCCCGACGCCTGAGTTGGTACAACATCCTGCTGCAATAAGTGGGAACACTCACACAAAGTACAGTGTGTTTCTTTTTCTGTTCCCTCTGGGAAAGTGACGAATGAAGCTGTCCGGGCAATTTTTCCCGCAGTTGCTCGATGACCTTTCGTCTCAAGTATGACATTGCAAACAGGATACGGGTAGTGTTGACGACATGAAAGCAGGCACATGCGCCTGTGTCCAATTTGCTGCCGGCCTGTTTGCTGGAAACATATATCTGGAGTGGCACAAAAACAAGCCGGTGTGATTGGCCCAAGTAAGGGTCTAGTAGTGATGCCCTTCGCTACTAGTAGCTATATTTGCTACTAGTAGAAATGCCCTTCCTACTAGTAGCGATGCCCTATTAGCGTCCTTGATCATCAACATACATCCGTTTGGGGCCTATCACCTGCTCATACAATGTGGTCATAACAGCGCAGGAGCGCCTGTAGTGTCGCCGCATGATGGGAGCTAGCTGGCTTGTATCAATCGACGGAGGCACCTGTTCATGGAAGGCTCGCCGTCTTACTGGTTCTTTTTCGGTTGGATCTCAAAACTACAAGCATGGAGATCCTGTTAGTTAAAGTTCTGGGTGAATCCTAATGGTCCTATAGTGTAATCCTAATCTACAACAATCTGGACGATACCAAGTCCAGCTTCAGGTACTTGACACTCCCATTCCATCAAGCAATGCCCACAAGGTTGAAGCTTGCGCCTACAAAAAATGGCATGGTTGCACTACTACCAAAAAGCCCACGTGAGTGAGCCTGAGAGTACCCGCCCTTGGAGAAGTGGAACAGCAGTCCCTGATTCCAGAACTCGCGGTTCAAACAAAAAGTCGAACACAGAAACCTTGTTGCTCATGAATGTGGTGCACTGGCCTGATAGCGCTCGACCAGGTGGCGACTGTTGCCAGCCTGTCAGAACATGCAGCCTAGCACTAGCACGCACAAAATCAAACGATGTGCAACGTGCGTGTGAGATGCGTGCAGGCCGCAAAGCCGCATATTTTCAAAAGACTCCCCTAGCCCCTAGCCCCTACAACATTGACATGTTGCGGGGTGGGGGCGTCCAGCGTCACTGTTCCGTGGCAACAGTGTTTGCACTGCAGATGAGAGCCTTAGATCACTCATCAGTGGCTTTGCAAAATGTTGTTATCTGAAGTCAATACGAAGTGGCTTACCTCACTGTGGCTTGGCCAAGGGACGGGGCGTGAAAGAAGCTGAGTGTCAACGCTGCCACAGCAGGCGTCACCTCCTGCTTGTTCACCAAAGCCGCTAAGCGCGACAGCCAAACAAATAAGCGTGTTGTGGTGCCACTGGGTCCTCATGTCATCAGCGCGGTCAAAACCGTACTGTAAAGGGCTTGTTTCTTGGTCGTGTTCTACTGAACAGAATCCCGGTCGTGATTCTTCCGGCTTTTCACCGAGCAACCACCCGAGTGTGCAAAAGGTGCATCCTCGAAGAGTGATCTGTACTCAGCTGAGTCCATGGTGAACTTGATTCGGTCATGCAATTCTCCGCGCAGCTGGGACAGTCTTCTCGGAGACTCCCATCTCAATGCCATCTCCTCACTGGTGCGGTGGGTAGGTTACCCCGTCCCGGTCCTGTAAATCAGTTTGACCATTTGACCCGGTGGCAGTTGGACTTTTGGAACGCCGAGACTCCTGCTCCCCTGACAGTGCCAGCAGCTCGCATTCGACGATGTACCAGGTGTGGCCTGCCTGCTCGATGTGCTGAGAGACTTTCAGGCTGAGTCTCGGCTTCAAGCCCTCATTGAGTGGGCTCCACATTTTGCTCGTGAGCGCTTTGTAGCCATAAAGGCTGAGGAAGAAAGGATCTTGTTGCACAAAGTGCTCCACCACGCAAAGGGCTGCTGCTTTCCACACCTCGTCTGGATGTGTTCCAGCGCATTCAGTGATGCTGCGCAAAGCCAGATTAGACTCCTGAATTCACAGGCACTTCAGCAAAAACCAGGCAGACCGGGATGAACGTTGTAGGCGAAAGACTAAAGCAGCTTTGGACGGGCCGTTGCCAAAGCCAAGGCACCAAAACGAAGTTGTCCTTGCTTTCCTTCCCGGACCTGGGTTCGAACTGAGCTCCTTGCGGGAGTTGCCGTGACCTTGGATTTGTTCCAGGCAGAAATGATGCAACAGTCGATACACCGCCAAACTGCCAGCAGGTTCAGGGGTTCTTTAAAAATGCGATCCAAGTAGTAAAGGGTATCAAGACTGAAAGGTTAAGACCTGGCATTCATGTGTTGCAAAGCATCGTGCTATTAAGGTTTGTGGTCTCCACTCCAACATCTGCAACTGAGGGTCTTCAACGGCTCCTCCAAGCAGGGCGGTAGGTGAAACAGTGTGCTGTTTATGCTGCCTGCTGCGACAGCGTTATGGCACAAAGGAACACCCTAGGTCTATATACATATATAGCAACGTCCGAAACTTTATGTGATTCATGAGATTCTTGCTGTCAGCCGGTCTCTGAAAAATTCAACTACAAAATTGGGAACGACGCCACCAGGCGCCTGGTCGTTTCGGGGTTGCAGTTGTCACGCCCCCAGTCAGACTGCGGCGTTCACATGCGCGCCTTGTTTTTGGCAATTACAAACCGGCCTGACTGTTGACAGGAGAGTCTGTCTGTATTCGTGCACTTTCGAAAACCACTTCGCCACTTCCCGTTCCGCATTTTGGAGAGCACTTTCACGTTCCCCGCCGGTGTTCCACGCAACTTTTCACTTCGAAACACCCATTGCCACACACGCATCTCAACCTCCGCCCCCCGGAAGGAATCGTCTCGAAAAAAACAACGCTCAAACTAAAGGTGACAAAGGTGACAAACGCTCACGAGTCTCCAAGTGATGTTCCCAAACAGACAGGCAGCCACGGACTCCACAAATTTCTGCGCAGTCCATCAAACCCTGAAGTTCCACACGCCAACGTCCTGGTCCAAAGCTATCTCGATGGTCAATCCTACCAGCGGATCCCCGTACGAACTTGGAGTCAAGTCGTCCAGATATGCCGGGTGAAAACACGAAACCAAGGTCGAAGAACCGGTGGTAACTCGTCTATATCCAGAAAACCCCCCAACCGCAACAAAAGAACCAGGCAACGCACCAAAAACAAGAAACAACGGTTGTGGCATGTCTTTCCTGAGCCAAATACAGCATGCAGGTTGCGTGAGCATGTGCTGCATATGCCTCAGCTGTGTGTGGGTCGTGCGGAGCCGCATGCCCCATAACGCATGTGTCTGCGCGTGTGCAATGCAAACGTACATGCATATAACGTAAACGTATGTGACCCGCGCGAAAAAAGAACAAAACACGAAGAACGCTACGCAACAGGTGTGCTATTATCCCAGCCCCCCCCCCACACCCCCCACCCCGCCCTGTCAACCCATTCGAACGTAGCGCGCCTCTTCATAACAAAAAACAGTAAAAAGCAGAGGCCGTGTTATAGCCTCGACTACAACCATGACCTCACCTCCCCGACAACAAAAAACCAGCGCCCCGACAAAAAGAGGACCGCGCCCCTCGACAAGGTTAGGGGTTCTATCGAGTGTGGGGGCTGTTGCGGCGCTGCGGCGTTGCCTGGCAGGATCAACCCGCAGGAATTCTCGCACCCAACAAACAAGAAAAAGTACCCGGCCACGGAATGTCAACCGGGGACCGCGTTCCATCTCATTTCCAACAGGCCAGTCCCCGAATCCAGGCAAACACTATCAAAACAAAATGTCCGCCGACCCCAATTTCCAGAATGAGAGCGTTTGCCTGGCAATCATGGACGACTGGGCGGACAATGAAGGATTGGTCAGAAAGAATGAGTTAATAACACTTACTCTTGACGAAAGGTAGTCATTTGGTATATCTCAACCTTCAACATTCCACAGTCCTACAAACAAATCTCCCCAGTTGTCGATTGCACTGGAAGCGGGAAGACACTGGTCTATCTCTGGAAGATAGAAATAAATAATTGGTTCAATTGCGCAGCTTCAAAATCTAGGAATCCGGTTCACCAGTCACTCCAAAAAGCAAAGCTGCGGTTACACTTTTCTCACATCCATGGCCACCGTAAACGCCCGACAGACAGGCTTGTGCCAAATTATATGGCATTCGCACTTATGACATGTTGAGGCAACAGGCTCAAAACCACACCAGTGGTCAGGAAGAACGCCCCTCAGCTGTTCATCTGCAGGCTTCGAAATCAAAAGGATTGGAAGCCATATTGGAAGAGTTAAGCGCCTTCTCTGATGAGAAGATGTTGGACAAAATTGCAACGGATGACCAACACAGCTTCCTTGGTGTGATGCAGTCCGACAAGACAAAAGTGTTCTACAAGAACCTGAAAACGCAACGGCGACATGCCACCCACCCGCCCGAACCCCGATTTCTCCGAGAGAACGGCCGGCGCGGAGAAACGACCGTGTCAAGAGAGGACGAGCGAAAGACGGAGCGATAGGTAGGCGGATAGGACCCCATGAACTTTCCCAAGTCACCACAATGAGGGCCATCAAACCAATCCAATATACCAGTGAATCTCCTAAGAGGCCATCATTCCATCACTGGAATTCTCCGCAGATCAAAACCTCTGAGACGTGAAAAATGCGTTTTGAGCATAACAAGCGACTTCTCGGCACCGATCGGCGGCTCGAGCTCCTGGCACTTCTCGGTTGCTTGGGGTCGGGGTCCATATGGGGGTTTGTCTGTCGGGGGGTGAATCCAGGCAAACGCTGTCAAAACAGAGCTTCCGCCAACCCCAAAGGCCAAAATGAGAGCGTTTGCCTGGCAACAAAGACTATGTATGGTCCGTAATTTGCTTCCTGGCAACAAAGATACACATATCAAAACGCTCACTTTCCAAGCGGAAGCGCTCGTCATATTCCAGGCAAACAGCCCCAAAACAGTGCCCACACCCTCAAAATGCCGCAAAATGAGAGCGTTTGCCTGGAATATATCACGATCCAGGCAATAGGCCCCCAAACAGCGACGCCCCATCCCCGCCTCTTTCTGAGGCCTCTTTCTGGACGCGGCTGCTGCGGAGCTTCTGCTGGAGCTGGTGGGGTGTCGAGGTTGCCCTGTCGGGGGGTAGAGTGTTTCCCTGTCGGGGATAAGCGATTGTTGTTGTGGTTCCTAAAAGTGCTGTTGTGGGTATACCACACCTTCGTAAAAAGACACCAGGCGCCCAGCAGCGACGATGGCAACAAATTAGAGTCATTAGAGATCTTTGGTGAGACAGGCAAGAGAAAGCCTAACTCGGCCTAACCCTGAGATCTCCTGACGGTGGATCAACATCAAAAGAACTGGTGCGCATCGAAAGTGATGTAGCATCTGCAAGTATTCACCAGAACCATTGATTTGTACAATGAGATCGCGCTCCTTCGGCGACCAACACTGCAATGAAGCGCAAACAACATATGTTGTGCGGTGCTACTAGGCCTATCACAGTTCCTGTCCTCTAATGATTGCCCAGGGTGGGCCGCATTCCAACTTGCCACGATGCCTTTGTCGTGGATAGATGTCACAATGAAGCCTTCTGCAAACCTCATCACCTGGGCCCGCTCTGTGCCGGCCAGTGTGTTCCATCATTGATTTTAACACTACACTGGCCGGTCAGCTTGTTGCAATAAGGGCTCATGCTGCGACTGCTTCATGTTGCTTCAAGAAACTCAGTACCAAGCCGTCATTCCAATCTTGCAGCCTAGCACTGGCCGGAGGACAACCTCGGCCAACGTCAAAGAAGAGAAAGGCTGATCCGCTGGCCAAATGTGCATGATCAAGCGGAACCATTCTGAAGGGCAGCCTTTAGCATTTCAGGCTCATCCTCCAGCGAAATGTTAAGCCGAGCCATCTGATCGTCAAGGGACCTGCAGGGCCAAACGAACTCAAATGACGCCGAAACCAAATCCTCTCTCACAGCCACCGTGCTAATAGGATGCTAATTCACCAAGCCACAGATTCTCCAAAGAAGCTTCTGCTGCAAGTTGTTCCAATGAGTTGGGCGGAGTCTGCACCGCAACATCCTGCAGCTTCGATTTTTCTTACAGAATCTTTCAAAACATCTTGTGGAAGCTGCAACCAGCGCCTCTTCCACAGTTCTTCTGTGAATGGGAAGCTCAAGCGGGGGCCGCCCCTCTGTGTGGGGCAATGTAGCCACGTCCGTCATTGCTCAATGAAGTTCCAGAAATCTTGATGTTTTGTCTGACACACAATGTTGCGCGGTATGGTTTCGTCTGTTTCTGTCTGCTGCTCTTCATGCTTACACTGGCAAATGATGTTCTGTGGGGCTGCCAGCAATAAACAGCAAAGCTTGAGTTCAGCAGCAATGTGAAAGTCGACACTGGACACCCATTGTCAAGGCCGCCCAATGACATTAGTTGTTTGTCCGTCACCTCATCTTCGAAGATTGACTTTAGCACCTTCACAAAAGGATCAAAGCGCGCGTGCGCACACACACACACACATTGCGGCGATCTAGCAGCTGCTCTAGCATAACCGTCGAAACGCTATCATCCCTGTCGTTCCGACAATCAATCACGAGGCGACGACGGCTTGGCCTCGATTTTGTCGTCGACAAAGTGCGAAATACCAAGCTTTTCACAAACGACGCCCTTTCCCTGTGGCCTCCACGGAACGACATGCGCATCCAGGTAGGAGTGCACTTGAGATAGCCAAGGTTGCTTGAGGCTGAGGCTTGGACCCATCCACAGTCCGCACGAAAATGATGTTTTCCTTCAGCAAACCCGTCTCTTCGCAGAAATTCAACGTCTCGTGGAGCCACCTCGGCGCTTTTTGTGAGGCGAGCAGTGTGGCGAAGCCGCTGAGGCCACCACAGCTCCATGCGCCGATGCATTTTTCCTCCAGGGCGAACCTAAATAAAGGCTTCAGATGCGAGCTCAGATGAACACCCACAGCGGGGGACACAAAGAGAGAGAGAGAGAGCGAGAGAGAAGAAACAAAAAAAAGTTATGTCTCTAGGTTGGACTGTGGCATTATATAGTGGCATTCGCTTGCCTTGCTCACCAGGAAGGTGTTGGATGGCCCAAAAACTTGGACTATCTTCCGAACCTAGGCCAATGCGCTGCTGCATGAACGTGTCCCACTCCATGTCTGATATCTAAGCGCCAGTGCTGAATCTAGTGCGCCGTCAGCCTCCCAACTTTCGTCCCACCTAAAAGCTACAGGTACAAAAGGCGCAGAATCGCGAGATCTGAAAGTCGCGCCACCCCATGTGGCTCAGTGAATCAGTGCGCCGAGGCAATGACTCATCGTACGACCCCCTGTACCTGGGATCGCCTTCCCTTGTGAGAACCTTACACAGGGTCAGCATAAGTTTTGGAAGTACAACAAATCAAAGTAAAGTTTAAAGTAGCAAGCTGAAAAGAATTTGTCTAAGAGTCTAAAGGGAAGGAAAGGAAGAAAAACAGAAAATGTCCAAACTAAACAAAAACAGAAACGAAAAAGACAATGCGGCCGCGGTGCACCACCAATGTCAATTCCGATCCTTGGCTCTGTCCCAGATGCCTGCCATCAGCCGATCAAGACCTCTGCCTGCATCCTATCTTTGGAGCCATCCTCTTGTGCTCTTTCTTTCTCCCCCCCTCCCTATTTTTACAATTACAGTAAGTAGGCGGTAGATGGAAGGGAGAAACTTGTAAGCTACTAGGAGAAGTTTGCTCCTAGGAACAGCACGCAGGATAGCTCACGCTTCTTCAAGGAGCTCAATTCGGGGGAGCCTGCTTGAAGAAGCGCTCGCACTAATCATTTGGTTTCTAGATTTTTAGAAAAACATATATAACTTCTTCTTCCTCCTAATTCATTGTCTTCTTCTTATTGTTCTTCTTCTTCTTCTTCTTCTTCTTCTTCTTCTTCTTCGTTTCTTCTCTTCCTTTCTCTTTAAACCTTTAGACTTTAGACGTTCTTGTGTCTTTCCTTTTCTTGCTTCTTTTCCGCCTTGGGCTTGTTGGCAGCCATCTCTAGAAAAAGCGGCGTTGTCGGGTACTCCTCGGACTTCACTTCTACACAAGCTGTGGAACAGCATCATGGTTCCACACACAACCTGAGAACATCACACTCCATGAGTACCTCAACAAATCTTAGAACAGGTACATACGCATAGGTCGTGCATTGGACATGTCTGAGGTTCTCGGGCTCGAACCGGCGTACAAACTGCTTTCCCGAAGGCCCCTCTACATCTTCGTCTTCAGACTCACTTTGCGAGCCTCGCCGCAGCAAAACTGGAGAGCTCGCACACCGACGTGGCATGGCTGAAAAACATCTGTCTGCGCCTGACATGCCCCTGACTGGCTTTGTCTCTTCAGCAGGGCTCTCAGGTGTTGGTTGGAGATTCCTGCCAGGACCCAAGAAGCCGGAGCGCAGCCGGAGCCGTTCAAGAGTCAACGCCAAGGACCCGACAACTCGGCCATCTTTGGGCGGCCAAGTCCAAGCTCGTCTTCTGCGAGGAGAAAAAAAAGAGGGATGTTCTGTCTGAGGTTCAATTGCAGTATGGCTTGTCTGTTCTTGGAAAACGCCGCGCGCGCTTTTGCACGGACACCATCGTTTGAGCCGTGCTTGTTTTAGCATAAAGCCTGAGGGCTACCCAAAGCAAACTCTGTCCTCAAATTTCACAAAACGAAAAGGTTAGACTAGATATTACACGCAAGTGGTCAAACCACGTTGGCCTTGCCGGAAGCAAAAACTGAGGATTTAAGGACGAGTTGCTGAGCACCCCCCAAACATATGGTACAACCTCTTGGGTGAAACCCGTCTAAAGGAGATCAGGCGCACTTGTGCCCATCTCATCCGACGGATCTAGCTCGTTCTATTGCCTCAGCTGTCAAACGAAAAGAGGCTCTGCATGGATTGCCTGATCTGGTCCCAAAAGAACTCCTATCGAATCGATATTGACATTCCTTTATATACAGCCTTTGGACATTTCCAGTGCGGACTAGGTGCTGGCGATCTCTGGCCCACACTGCCTTTCGCGAATTTGGGTGATGGGCACTAGCCAAAATGCGCCGACCCAGCCTTCTGTCGGGGTGGTGGCCATCTCTGAGGCTTTCTTTCTTGAAAGCAGGATGGTCTGCACTTCATCCCGTACAGGTTTGTGCTGCTTGTGTTCGGCGAAGTATGTCCTGTCGGTCGAACTGTGTCAACGACTTCAGGATAAGAGGAGTAACATGGGAGGCCTGAAGGGCTTTGGCGTGGTTTCAATGCATTCAGCTTGAAATCCAGATTTCCAAGACTCCCTTTTGGCCTTGGCTATGACACCAGGCTGAGGGAGTTCAACAAACTGGAAGCTCGTCATCTGAGACAGCGGCATACAGAACTGAAGGTGATCTGGTCGATGATGACGATGATGAGCTTCTGGCCAAGTACCACAGGCAAACACAGGACAGGACATCAAAAACAACAGTGAGAGTGAGAGCACAACTCAAACTGTAACCTCTCTCATGAATTAGGTCACCATGGTGGCCTCCGGGTTGGTGGCGAGAACTTGGAAGATGTCTTTGCCTTCGTCAAGTGCACCCTTCGCCAAGCACTCTTGCAGCTTGCTGGGCCGGGGGCAGCTTCCCTGATGGCTTGTACGTTGGCCTCCAGCTGGAAGGCACCGATTGTTAGAATGGCCGGAGTGGACCCAGCAAAGCACCGACCAGCACAATGCCATGATGCACCTCTTTCTGTTTCTGGTGCTTTTGGTCAAAGTCATTGAAGGTCCAGCGCAAGCTTGGATGTAGCTTTGACCTTTCAGGCATCTAGAAAAATCAGGTGTCAACAGCACAGCGCCCGATTATGATGTTTCCCTTGAGCCCTTGGCGAGTTGCATAGATCCGCCACAGTGCTGTTCCAGGGCTTCTTTTCCTCAGCTTCTTAGACTGGTGCTTCTCTACTTCCCAGTCATTGACAATCCATGACCATCTGTGTGTCCTTTGCCATTGCAGTTGGGCTGCTTTAGCTGGGACAGGTCTTGTCTTCTTGGACGCTTGTTGTGGGTGCGCACCTTACAGCGACAATGGCCAACGCTCCATGTCGCTTTCACATCCGAGGATGAGACTGGATCGCTTCCGAATGAAGACCGTGGGAGATGCCATTATCCCAGTCGTCAGGCCTCACGCACCACTGCATCGTGTTTGCCTCTGCCCCAAACAGCAGGGCACAAGCCAAGCGCAAACATGCGAAGCTGGTGTTTTAGGCTTTAGGGCCTCCTTGGTCTACGTTTGTCCCTTTGGCATTGGATGTCAGCACTTTGAGCAGCTTCTGTGCGGAGATCTTGGTTCCAATGCCACGATCACACCTGCGACATCCCACAGCAATCGAGAGAGATCCCCTGACCCTTTGTATATCTTTGGATGGGCCCACAAGCCTAGCCGCAAGAACAGCGGCGTGTTGCGCATCCCCATCGAAGCCGAGAGCGGTCAATCTGGCAGCCAAATCGCAGACAGTCACCTTGGGTGAATGCCAGCTCGCAACAAGAAAATAGCCATAAATCTGAGGAGCCTCAGAAGTCCCACCACCAAGACCAAGCATTGTGATCAATTCCTGACCAAGAAAGGTCAGGAAAAGATGTATCGTCATTCCTTCAACATCTTCAACTCTGTGGATTCATTATTGGCACCTCGCAGCTGCCAATCTGATAGCGAGCAAAGCTCACCAGGCTGGCCTCGGATAATGGCTGCTGTTGATGACCTAGGTGCACCTGCAAAGGCTGAGCCCAGTGCCAGCGGCCCTGTGGCAAAGAAGATGCTGGTTTGAAAGGCACTCCGAAAACTAGACTAAAATATCGAATAAGTGTAAGCGATTGAAGGCTCAGGTTGCGGTCTGGCCTTCTGTCTCTTTCAGTCTTAGACGAGCATTGCGAGACACCTTCATCAAACCAAAAACATGTTTACATCAAATGAGTAGAAGGTGGCCTTGGGGATGTATTCGAAATCAGCTCGCCAAACCCAGCCTCAGCTGAGCTTGGTTGCGTCACGAAACCGCTGCAATGCTGTGCGTATTTGATCCCGAGCCAGGGTTCCACACCCAAACCCTCACGGTCCAGGCCTTGAAAAATCATCTCCTCAGCGTTGCATGCTACAAGCGGCGGAGCAAGAACAAACAGTGACATAATTGACTATGATGATCAGGTGTAGGAAGGCACATCATGCCACACTGACCAAAGCTTTCACAAACGCACAGCCGGCAAACCCATTCTGATGTACAAACCGGAGCTAGCATAGCAAATGCCTTCATGCTGCTGCAAATTGATTGGTCTATTTGTAGGCTCCAGGCTGCATTTCCTGTGAAGCCCAAATGCTCCGCACTTTGGACAAAATCTGCCTGCGTTCGCAGTGCTTCCCATGCGTGACCATGGTTGCATCAGCGCACCTTGGTTAGCTTGTTCTTCTTGTCGTAGTCGAACAATCCCCATGCCTGGCAACGGTGGATGCATCAATTGTGGCGACTGATGAATGCAGCTCTGCCTTGTCTAGGTCATATCCAGAGACCTCAGGACTGGTATGCCATTTCTCACATCAAGAAAGACTCCCCTTGCAGGTAAGGAGCATTCCAAATGAGGTCCGCAAATTTCTCAACATGCTCGGATTCATCCGGAGCTAGCTCAGCAAACCTGACACCATTTTCAGAAGCGCGGCGACTTGTCCACATGGGCTGACAAAATATCCTAACCAATGATTCCCAACCTAGTAGCTTCTTGTTACTAATAGCGATGGCCTCCAACCTAGTAGCTTCTTGTTACTAGTAGTACTGGCCTCCAATGATGAGATTTTTGGGGCCCAATCCACATGTATCTTCCCGATACCAAGCCGCTCCAGGGCTCTGTCATCCAGCGGCCGCAGCGATGTCCAGATCTGACGGACTCTGCCCTGAAACCCGAGCCGTCGACATTGATTCCTCGGACGCTAGAAAAACGGACCTCTTTGCCAGTCAAACAACGACTTGTGGCAGTTTTAAGCTAAATCTTATTCTTGTTAGAGACTTTGCGACTTGCTCTTGCGTTGGGGCGAGCAGCGAAAACTCCACAAAGGTCACTGTTCCGTTGTCGTCGAGGTCCAAATCCAATCGCCAGGCCCTCAACCTGCAAACCATGCGCTGCTTTCGTGTGTTGCGGGCGTGAAGGTCCGAGGGTGACACAAATTGCGTCTTCTTCTCCTTAGCTCAAACGCTGTTTAGCGTGTATGCATGGAAAACTGATTTGTTCACCTAAGACAAACAATGTCTTCAATTCAACAATGAGGTCAGCATAGCAGCATGTTGCGGCTTGGGTGTAGTTCTTTGTGTTTACTGGATGTGCAATTTTTCAGGCATGGCTCTTCAGTACTTGGGCAAATTGCCAGGATGGAGATCCTTCGTCACGCACTGTCATGATCAGTGTCTCGAGGGACTTCTGCGCCTGACGGTGGGGAGAAAAACAAAGCAAACATGCGCCTGACTGCCTGACTAAATTTCAACAGCATCTACCCGTCTCAGAGCAAGCAAAGCAACTGTATGTATGTCTAAATGCATACATACATACATACATACATGTCATTGCCGTCTACCTCAAAACCAATGAGTCGCTCCAAGGCACGACGAATGCCCAAATACTGGCCCGCATTCTAGCACTTCTAGATGCATCCACCCGGCAGTTCATCTTGCTTGGCGACTGGAATAACCACCCAGAGCAATTCCAAGGAACAGTCCTTGACTCCAAATTCCACTGGCAAATCCTTGCCCCCGATGCCACCCTGCTCAATGGCAATACGGTTGACTATGCCATTATTCAGCAAACCCTGGCAGCTTGCACCTCCATGACCACAGAATGGGCTGTTCCCTGGCGGCCGCACTGCCTACTCACCTACGCCCTGGAACTTGGGGACGACTTCCGGCTTTACAACCAAATCCGGACTTTCCCTCCACTGCCCAATGTGCCCGACATTGGCTTCCGCGCCTGGAGCACCTATGTGTCCCAAGTCGAACAGCTACAGTTGTACGACAGCAGGCCAAACCCAGGTGCCCAAACTCTTGCAGATTGGACATCCATCACCGAACAATATCTACTGCAACAGCACCCCTGGGCACCACAGGGCCGAGGCTCTAACCTGATCACTCAGCACCTAGCCCTGGTCCCGGCCAAAGCCGGCGGTCTTTGGAAGAAAGGCAAGGCGGCCTACTGGGAGCAGATCCAAGCCAGACTAAACTTGATCCAACACCAGCCCGCCAAAGCCACCGGCGCCATCCACGGGCTCAACAAAGCCCTCCAGCGAGTCCAACACCACTGGCTAGGGGACCAGACTTGGGGCCAGTTTCTTGACACCCACCACCATTGGGTGCAGTTCAAGGACGATCGCACCTTTGAGCTCCTGCAGCAGACGGTGCAACATCAACTTGAAGCAGCACAACAACAAAGCCGAGATGAGACCAGTCTGCAATATGCCGAATGGATCAAACAAGGTGAAGCCAAAGGACTCAAGGGGCTCTTCCGCTCCCTGAAGGCCAGTGAAATGTCGTGGCAGCGACCTTATCGATCCATCCCGATGGCAGACCGCATGCGACACCGCATGCAAGACTGGCACAAGCTCTGGAAGCCTACCAGCGACAACCAGCCCATGACCCGCCTGCCACTCCAAGACCAGGCCAAACGACAAGCTGGCGAGCTCCCGGCCCTCACCTTTGAACAGCTCGGGAAGACTCTCAAGCACCTCCCGGATAAAGCCTGCGGACCTGACGCCATCACTACCCAGCTGCTCAGGACTGCTCCGAAACAGGCCATCCAACCACTCCTTGGCATCCTTCAAACCATGGAGGCCAAAGCAGAGCTCCCAACCCAACTCACCATGAGCTTGGTCGTGATGCTGGCAAAAAATGAGAGAGTGGAACGACCCATCACTCTGACCAGTGTTCTCTACAGGGTGTGGTGTCGACTACGGAAACCAATCCTGGATGAGTGGCAACGAAACCTCCCTCCAACCATGGACTGTGACAGAGCCAGACCAGGAGCAACTGCTCTCCACGTGGCCCTCGAACGTCTCCTTCGTCAAGAGACCACCAAATCCCTGGAGAAGCACGGAGTCACAGTCCTTCTGGACATGAGCACCTTCTACGACACCCTTGACCTTCAAAAACTCCAACAAACGGCACAAGAGCTCAACTATCCGCCATTGGCCTTGGAGTTCGCCATGCAGGTCTACACGGGACACAAAGCTATCCTGGCCGAAGGAGAACTGAGCCCATGGTTCCATGTCACCACAGGGGTTGCTGCCGGATGCCCACAAGCACCTTTACTGGCCAAGACCTATCTCCAACCCATCCTCCACACTTTCCAGCAAGCATTCCCAGACCTGCACCTCAACGGATGGGTCGACGACATTGGCTTTGACGGCAGCCATACCGATGCCCAGCATTTGGCGCACAGAGTTCACCAGGCATGGCAACAACTTCGGGACCAACTGACACAAGCCGGGTTAGTGGTCAACAGCCACAAGACAGCTTTCATTGTCACGGACAAACGGATCCACAGTGAGCTCAGCAAACTTCTCGGACCACAAGACCCGCCAATCCAATCCGTGATGCGAGACCTTGGAATTGACCATGCCGCCAGCCGCCGAAGGCGAATCACAACCCTTCAACAGCGCTTCCGGAAACACAAGCAAAGAAGGATTCGCCTCCGAAGTCTAAAGCTGCCCAACCTACGAACACGGCTGCGGCTACACAAAGGAGGTGTCCACCCTGTCGCCTACTGGGGCTTCGAGGGTCAAGGCTTAGCACCCAGATATCGGTTGGCACTACGCCAAAGTCTTGCTACCCACCTCGGGCTCCATCACGGAGGGCTCCAAGACATCATCTACGACCAAGTCAGCCACAAATTCGCCGACCCAGGCGACCAGGTGATCATCCACCACATCCGGGCCCTGCACACTCTCCTCCACAGCTGGCCTGCTGATCACATCCAGCATGTGGAACAAGCATGGATCACCATTCGGAACCACCTCCGAACCAAACCGCACCAATGGTACCATGTCAAGGGCCCAATGGCAGCCACCCTTGCATATCTCCATGAATGGGGATGGACCACCGAGACACTTTACCAATGGCATCGCCCAGAGACCGCCTTCATGACGGAAGCCCATATCAACCTACAAGACGAATGGCACACCATTGAGCAAACGCTTCATCGGGAAGCCCAGCAACAACGCACCAGCCGACTGGCAAATAGGAAGAACTGCCAAAACCTGGTGAGCGGCCTCGACTGGGAGACTGCCAAAAAGGCCGCCAAAGTCCTCTCCAAGCAACAGCTTCAGCACATGAGGACCTGGAATCAAGCAGCCATCCACTATCGTGACGGCGAGAAAATCAAACCTTGCCCACTTTGCAAGGTCCCAGCCACCCCAAAACACATCGTGTGGCTCTGCTCCTGGCACCACAACCAAGGACATGAACCCCTGGCGATTGAGTGGACTGAACGGCTGCAGGATCCCCTTGAAGAACCCTTGTGGGGTCACGGCTGGATTCCCAAGGAACCCCAAGACCATCTCCAGTTTCCTCAACCCCTGCAAGGCCATGGCTGCTGGAGCACCCTCGAGCCCCTCACCCTCCAGCCCTGGCAAGGCATGGCAGTGACCCTTGATGCCACCCCGTCCTCTTACGACCGGAGGTCACAGGCATGGGTGTTTGGACTCTGCGTCCACACCTTCTCCCTTGGAACGCTCCTGCGAAAAGGCACCATAACGGGCATGGCACCAGGTCCCCAGACCAAAGCCCAAGCCTTGTTCCAAGGCCTGATCACCCTCGCCCAATTCGTCCTCACTCCCACCAATGTGGTGGTTCAGCTCGGGGTGGTATGGGAGGCATGGACCAACCCAAGGAAGCGCAAGGGTTTCGAAGACCTTGCCCAGGGACTGGATGCGCATTTCTTCCAGAGGATCACTCCCCTGTACATCCACAAAAATCACAGGTCACCGGACACCCCAGCCAACGAGCCACACCTTCGCAGGCGACAACGAGATGCTGCACTGGCCGCCTACGAACGGGCTTCCACCCTCTACGACAGACAGGCAGAGGACTGGCAACACACCTTGGACCAGGATCACCTCCAGATATACAAACAGGCCACCGCCCGGCTCGAGAAGATCTACAAGGATCCCCAACACTACCTCCACGACAAACCAGTCAGGCGGGCTGGCCATGCCACCAAACAATACAAGAAACGGCTCATCAACCAATGCAAGGCTCCCTGGCAGCCCCACAAGCACCAATGGGTACCACACCGGAGTGGGTACCAGTGCCAAACGTGCCATACCAGAGTTCACCAGGGTCTCACAGTCGATGTCATCGAAACGCACCTCAACCAGGACTGTGAGCTCCTCACCCACGAGGCACCCGAGCCCGACATGAGACCTGATAAGCCAATCGGGCAAAAAGTCACCAGAACCACGGCCATTAAGAAGCTCCTCGAAGTCCAACAGCAACACCCCCAGGCTCCGGATGAACACACCTTCCAGGAGACCACGGGATACCTCAAGTGCACCAAATGCAACTTGTCCATCCACAAAAGGACAAACGAGGACAGTTTCCGGACCTTCATCCACAGCACATGCATTGATGCCAAATACGAGCACAACCATGGAGGACACTCCTCCCACACCCTGTGGCAAAAGGGCAAGGCAATCCGCTGTGTCAACTGCGGCACCAACAGTCACTTGGATAGCGAGGAAAGGGTGGTCATGACAAAGGCCCTGACCAAACCGTGCCAAGGCAACACACAGCGGTCACCAACACTCCCCCAGCTGTTCAATACCCAGCCAAAGGGCACACCAGACACCCAGGGCACAGGCAGCCAGGAGGCACATACAGCCGGCCATGAAACCCAGCCACCACGTGCCACGGCAACATCAACAGATGACCTGATGCCGGCAATGTCACCCCCAGCTCCAAAGAAGCTGCGCTTCTCCACGGACACACCTCCCACTGCGACAGCTCAACAGGGCATGGCACACAGCCCCGAGCAAGCCGAAGAAGAAGATGGAGAAGGTGACCCGGTCGTCAATGTCGACTTCTTCTGAGCAGACTGACGGAAGGCTGCCGCATAGACCGGCCAACACGGCCACCCACAACATGAGCAGCAACTTTAGGAGAAAAAAAATACATACATACATACATACGGATACGTTACATACATACGTTACATACAGACAGACATACGTTACAGACAGACAGACAGACAGACAGACAGCCAGGCAGGCAGACAGACAGACAGACAGACAGACCGACCGACCGACCGACCGACCGACGTACATACGTACATACGTACATACGTACATACGTACATGTGTGTGCTTAATTTGTAAAGTAATATACCCCCTCAACTACCAATCGGCGGCCGGTTGGCCCTGAAAAGGTCGGCCTCAAACCGCCGGAGCTGGGAGAGTGTGATCACATCGCTGAAATCCACCCCCGCATCCCTGAGCGGAGGTCGGGAGCTCACTGCAATCGATTTTGGACTCAGAAGCTAGTCCGGTTACGTCCAGCCTCAGCTGTTTTTCCTGCTCTTCACTGCCACATTCCTGTGCCTTAATCTTGTTGCATGGGCCAGAGAGGCAAAATAGACACCCCATGCGCGTCAACAAAAAAGTAAACTCAAACTGAATTACGTCATGGGGCGATAGCTCGAAAGACTGCAAGTGCATTGCCAGTAAAGCCAAGAAGGCTCACACAGCGTGCCTGAGCAATCAGAGTGAGAGGATTGAAGCAAGTCCAGGTTACAGTACCCTCTTCACAGTCTTCACACTACAAGTTTTATTGAAAGCCAGGTCACCCAATCCTTCGAAGTAATACAGCGGCGAGCCAGCCCCCCTACCTTGTCTATATAGTTGAACAGTTTCAAATAAAAAAGCTCTGTGCAACTGTCTGTATCTATAAAGTTTGCCGGAATTACAGCTTGGCAGGCCAAAGTGCCTGGAATTTCCCAACGCTCCAGCCACCCAAGGCTGTGTGATTGAGATCCTCATCCATGAAAAGCTCACGAAGCAGGTGCCAACGTGGAGCAGCCCACAAGGTGAACTCACCTGGAGGAAAAAGGGAGCGTGCAAATGTGACACATGCACGTTTGACGTGTTTTACACGTTTTTTAGATGCAGCTTGACGGCCAATGGCATCTTCGTCATCATCACTTTCCTCTTCACCTGCCATTAGCCAGGGTGTCCACATGAAGGCTGCTAGGCGCAGCACGCCTACAGCTACACGTCCAGGCTGGGCTTGCTCTGTCTTTGCTTCTATGTCCTGACATTTTACACCATTGCGAAAAAGAGAACGCGCGATCACTTGTCCATGAGCCCCCATGCTGCAATGCTTATCTTGCTCCAATTTCTTGCTGAGCTTTTTGCCAGCTTTTAGGATCCAAGCTTTTTTTGGACCTTCTTGTGTCGACTGAGTACCCAGCGTTTTTGCGTGCTTCATCAGTGCTTCGAAGCATCTCGGGAGCAAGAGCATCAATCGCCATGCTAAGAGACCTTGGACACCAGAAATTGCAAACATTCAAAATTGACAACAACCTGCACCAAATGCCTAGGAGCTGCGCCCGAGAGAGCCTACAGAACGCGAATGTGAAAGCCTTCGTGTAGCGCGAAACGCGGAAACTTCTTGGAAGTTTCACCCGAGGGATTTGCAACGGTTTGCACTGGCCGCCACTGGCCCTTTGGACAGCGCAGACCGAAAACTACCTCCCAACTTAGGCCAGTCGGCTGCAGCTGCACGGAATGGGCCCATAACGCATACAAAGGAGAAGTTCTGCCTATATACAAGCAATATATATATATACAACTGCCAAAACAACAGGTAGAAAAGGGAGCCTTGAAAGAAGCGGTTAATTCTTCAAGCAACTGACAAATCAACTGTTGATAGAGCCATCTGTCCTTCAGAAATGCTGGCCCATCGTGGGCGTCGTCCTGGCTCAGTCTGAACCTGACACTCAATTCAGGAAATTCGGAGAGGCATCCTCCGGGTCCAAATCACTACAGTACCTGCCTGGAATGCAGGCGACTCATCTGGTCCTGGTGGTTGTCATTAGGAACGATTAGGAAAAAGCCAAACTAGAGCTCTAAACAAAAGCGGCAATAAATTCCAGACTGCCAAAGTCGCTAGAAGTAAGAGGTCAAACACCGCTCACTGGCGATGTGAAGCCAAGTCTGTCCTTCAGACATGCTGGCCCATCGAGGGCGTCGTTCCGGAGGAGTGAATTGAGCTGGCCATACCTGCAAAGGACAATTGCTTGACATGAAAACATCCATCAACAGTGCGCGGCTGCGCCTCAGCGGAGGACGGCGTTGTAATTTCACTCGTGTCAGGTCCTTTCATCGCACTGAGCCATGTGACAACACCGGACCTAGTTGCCTATTGAGGGGGGCATGGCAGCTGTGAGAAGAGCTTCTTGCTTCGCACGGACTTGCGCAATTCTGTCCTTCAGACATGCTGGCCCATCGCGGGCGTCGTTCTGCTGGCGCCTGTGCTGCCTGCAGCGTGACTCATTGGTTCTCTGTCTCCATGCGTTCAACAGGGTTGCCCATTGTGGCATCGCTTTCTCCAAAAGGAAGGCACTTGCAAGCATCCAGTCCGGAACCTGTATGAGCCCTACAGCAAATTGACCGACCGATGTAGGCCTTTATATAAAGTGGTCTACGAATGATGGACGATATCACTAAAACAGTGCCAGGGCCACTGGGCTTGCAGCTAGTGGCGCAACTGCAGACCCTCACGGCGGGCATTTGTACGAGCACAAAATATCAAAACTCTGAAGTGATGAGCCTGATATCACTGAAGCAGGTGATGCCTTCAAAGTGGCTTCGCAAGCGTGTGCTTCTCTCTGCTTGTCTCTGCTCATCTGAAATCTATGCTGCTCTCTGCTGGGTCGGAGACTGGAACTGTTGCCTGCCTTCGGTAGACTTTCTGGCCCTGGCCCTGCCAAAGGGCAGCTCTGTCACTGAAGAGTGGCTGCAAAGGTTGGGGTCCCGGCTGCATTGGTGGGAGTCCTTGGTCAAATGGCCATGCCCTGTCTGTGTAATGAGCTTGTGGAAGGTCATTTTTAGGCTTCAAACTGGCTCAAAGGAGCCGTAACACTCCGGTGAAAGAGGGACCTCAAGGTGCCAAGGCTTCACCCATTGAGCACATCAATGCAATGTCACGTGAGGCTCCGACAGCGGCTGCACTCCTGACACATCCACGCTTAATACGAGCATTTAACACTGTGCAACTTTGAAGGATCGCGGTCCTTTGGGAGATATCACCTCAGCCACATGTGCAAAACCATTGCGTCAAAAGCATGCCATGAAAAAAAACGAAAAACCTTGCATGTGTTTGACATGTTGTATACGTCATGGCACTTCCAGGCTCCCCAGCCGTCCGGGAGTACGGCACCTCCAGGGCCAAGGCCTTCACGGCCATGGCGTTTAGAGCGTCTTCCAAGTCTGTCAGATGGCCAACGGTCTGGGCATCAATGCTGAGAGAAGACACGTCTGAAACACCTTGAGACACCTTGAAACCGCCACGTCTGATAGCTGGTCTGGTGTGAGAAACTTTCTAGCCCATTGGCTCCAAGTGTGTGGTTTGGATGTGATTCTCATTGCTCGCTGGAGCCCCATTCATGGCGAGAACACAGTAGACAAAAGGATGTGTTTTTTTTCTCCTCTCCCCTATGCATTCACAATCACTTGCTGTTCCTTTTTGAAGGGCCTGCCGCCAGTGAAGATTCATCATAAGGCGAAGTGATTTCACCTCTGGCGATCCATCTCAATCCCTCAATCACGGCACGAGCTTTCTTTAGAAGCATCATGCATCCAGCTTCGCACGCTTTTCAGGTGGCTCCATTACCTTAGGACGTGCACAACCTTGCTACCTAAAAAGGAGGGCAGGTGGCTTCTCTGACTTCCGGTCTCAGCCAAGCAGCAAGACCACCGCCAGGCCTCTGCATCAAGATACGACTGAGAAACATAACACCCATGCAATGGGATCTAAGATGGGTGCAGCTGCATTGTCATCCCGGCAATGGGCCTCATATCCACCCAAACTTCACCCGTAGGTAGTTCTCAAGTCCGGTCAGCATTGGGTCATCTAAATGATAGGTCAGGATCGATTAAGGCATGCTAGTTCAAAAGCTGGAAGAACACCGTCTAGCAACAACTCAGACTCCAAGAGCTGGACATGGTCGTAGGACCTACCAAGCTGATTGACCAAACTTGAAAAGCTCGGTCTGCTAGGTCGCCAAAGGCTCGGTCCGTGATGATCCCACACTGATCCACATCTCCCTGCCTCTCATGGGTGGCAGAGTGCCTCAGCATCTTTCGTCTTTCGTCGTTTCTGCCTAGCCCCCAAGCTGCCTAAAGCCACCCAGCCCTGCACCCAGCATGGGCTGAACTGGAACCCCGAAAGCCAATGGTCGAGGCCTGGCACAGCAAAACTAACAATCTTTCCAAAGCAAGTGATTGTCCAAGCTGACTCCTGGATCATATCATCATATCACATGATTCTGGAAGTCTGGTGTGCGCATATCAGTCGAAAATACAATCGTGTCAGCATGGCTGAGCGCAGCCTCCACAAGCCATGTTTTGTGCGCTCGGCACATAGCCTGCAATTGTCTTGATGTCGTGATTCCCGCAGCAAATCCCTCACTGAATCCGCCTTGGGCTGCGGTTGGCACAGCCTGAGCTGGTAACGTCCCAGTCAGCATCAGGTCAACATGACTAATTGATGTCCCCAGACTACATAAGCTTTCTCAGGAGTCTCAGGACTGGGCAGCAGGCGGCCTACCGGGTCCCAGATTCTGTGGCCTCAATCGCTTCATCACGTACAACACTCTCGGACCGACCTGTCTAATCTGTGGCTGTGACATGGCAGCCATTGGTGCACCTGCAAGACTTTCTGAAACAATCATCAGGTTATCTTTCCGAAAGAGTCATAGCAAATGTGGGCAGCAATTTTCTCACGTCCAGCGCTCCCATGTTGCCTTGCAATGGGGCAAACTGTGCAGCTGGAAAGCATCCCATCCTAGTACAAAGCACAGGTGCAAGGCTCTGGCATAAGACTTCTGGACAGTTTGGTAGCATGCTTCATACAGTATGCAACTCAGAACGCAACTGTGGAGGACCTGGACATGTGTTTGTGACTTGGACGGCTCTGCATTGCCAAGTTTCGAAGCTGAGACCTGCACCCATTCGAGGCCTGAGCTCCCAAGGAGAAAGGCACAAGCAGCGTTGTGCTTCTCAGGGTCCCGGCTGGGGTGCAGCGACCATGGTGGGTGCCTGCATGAAACCGACCGGCAGCCTCAGGCACTATGGGGAGGCTTTCGAATGGAAGGATGTCAAAAAATGTGTGTTCCTTGTGCACTGCTTCAGGTAGACTTCGGGCAACCTGCGCTCGCGGCTCGAGCCGCGTTCTTTTTCGCATGTTAGAGAAAGTCGCGTTGTCTGCCAACCCGCCGTTGAGAGAACCTGGGCGCGGCACTGATCGAAGGAACGGTTCAAGCACGGCATCTGATTCATGCTAACTGCTAAATTGCTTTCCCGCCCCACAAATGCAAATTGCAGCCGAGGATCGGAATTGTGGGGCAAAAAGCGGCCTGAATCAGTCAGTCTGACAGCTTAAAACTGGAGTGTCACCTATGTTTCATCACTCACCATGACAGAACTTCCAGAAACCTTCCCACAAGCGCAGTTATCAACCAAGTTGCGAACGCAGAAGGGCTGGCTGCTAACTTGCTGAGAAGTTCTGCGCCTTGCTTCATGTCCCCCATGTCCAGGCTCGGTAGCCCTAGTTCACTCTTGTCAGGTGGGAGCACCGCCTCAGGAAAAAGCTGCAAAGCTGACAACTTTATGGTTCTTAATCTGAAGTGCAGCATTCACCATACAACACAATCTGTCACAATTCCAATTTATATACACTATATAATCTTGGCACGGCTTCCCAAGGCCCCTGCAGACTCGCCAGGCTCCCTATCAACACCTCTGGCACAGGGAGACTCCATCAAATAGGTCAACTGTACGGCCGCTTTGTCCGCAATGGCTTTTGCTACCCTCGCTTGCTCTTTCACAAATTTCATGCTTTCCATAGCGCGTAGTGCAGATGCCACCTCATGTCGCGCCCAATGAAGTGCTTTGAAGCCCATCTGAGCTCGGCTTCCAGCATCAGGTTGCGGGGAATGATCATCAGGATAGCCTGTTCGTTTCATCGCCAGCATCAGCTTGAAGCGGTCGCGTGGTGTTTCTGCCTCAGAGTGAAAAACAATCACATCCTTGAGCTTTGACCCAGTGCGAAAAAGCTACGGACTAGTACGGCCAGATATCGGGGGAACAAGCTGACCGAAGCGTTGCTAAGTCTCTTTGGGCTCCGGGATCAGTTTGCTTTGCCCAGCACCCGCATTTGCCACGCCCGCCGCACCTGCCAATCCACCAGCTGCCTTCGATAGGGCTCCCATGTTGAGGAATGTAGTCCTGTGATGAGGGTCCAGGGGCGCTTCAGTTCGCGGCACATCAGGACCATGGTGCCCATATTCAGAGATGATGCCAGCGGCGCAATGCTTCATTGCCAGCCGCTGGATGCAAACAGTTGTTAACCTGTTCGACTGTGAACTGCCTCATCTCAAAAGTAATTCAGACGCAGCCGGAAGTGAATGCAGTATGTGGTGGTATGTGGGGGTGGGTAAGCCTAGAAAATGTTTGATGCACTGTATTGGGCGTCCTTGGAGCAAAAAATTGCGCCCAAATGTTCAGCGCAGCTTCCAATGCAGTGCTTGGATGAAACGACTGGGTCTAGAGCGCCATCCCCGGCAAGCCTGCGCATTGCACGGTGCAGCTGGTGGCAAAGGTGGCAAACGTGGCAAACGCGGCAAACGCAAGAAGAAGGAATCTGACCTGTTTGGGCAGGGTTCGGCACATCAGTCGTACCAGCTGGCAGCCTACACTCCACAAGCTCACAGCAAATCCAACCAACGCAATGCCATGCTGTTGTCTTTTGCAACCATATTTGAGGCAAAGGCCCTTGTGCACTTTTGGGATTTTTTACGGTGTATATAGCCGCTTGCAACGCTGCCTTGGTTCAACCGTCTTGTGAGGACCGGCTTCCACAAAAGAAATACAAGCACAGTCACAATGGCAATGAGTGAGTCTTTAGAAGCTTCAGCCATCTGCATCAACCTTGCTCGCTTCATATGCATCAGGGTGAAGCAATCCGAAAGCGGCCTGAGCAGGCAAACCAAAACCCCGAACCAATGCTACCACACGCCACGAACCAGTTAGGCAAAGCTAAGCTCTGAACCAACGCTTTGACCGCGAGAACATGCAGCGAGGCCTGACTTGTTGATTCTGACATTCGACTATCAACAAGCACCAAATCCCAAAATGTTGAGCAGCTGACTATGGCATCAGGCACCCTTTCACTTGCAGGCCTTACTCAAACAAACAATTCTGTGGTGACTTGGAGCTTTCACAGCTGCAAAAGCTACTGCCCACGATCCACAGCACGGGACAATTGATATATATATATAGATATAAATATAGATATTGAAGGTATTGATATAGATCTAAAATGAAAAGCTACGAATATCGATGATATACCTGAGAAAGGAAAGGACGAAAGCCAGCCCTTCAAGCACACGGCAAACATATTTGTTCAATGTATATTTTTACAGCTGCTTGCGGGGCGCTAGTTAGATCCCAGAAGATTGCACTCCCTTGCCGGTGCCCTTTTTTCTTCCCAAACCCGTGACAAAGCGATCACAAAGGGCACCACACTGGACCACACACGCCCTCCAAACCAGAACGCGAACACACTCTTTCAACATATCTTTTTAATACAATTACCTGACGAAGCCTAGCTAGATCACAGAAGTTTACACTCCTTTTGCAGGTGCCCTTGCTCTTCTCCAAAACTGTAACAAAACGATCACAAGGGGCATCACCACTGGGCCACATATGCCCTCCAAACAGGCCGCAAAAATACTCTGTCAACGTATTTTTTGAATACAGCCACTTGAGGAGAATCAAAAAAATTTACTTTACTTCGAGTGATCCCCGCCATGACATTTCAATAATGTCTTGATGCCATAGTGAGGAGCATGTTGCCATGGTCGTGAGTATTGTATTTATCGATTTTGTTTGTGGGCCCTCAGGTTGTGTGCTATGATTGTGTGTTGTGGTTGTGGTTGTGCGCTGTGTTGTGGTTGTGGTTGCGTTTGTGATTGTGTGTTTGTGATTGTGTGTTTGTGGGTGTGCTTGTTGTGTTTGCGGTTGTGTTTGTGGTTGTGTTTGTGGTTGTGTGTTTGTGGTTGTGTTTGTGGTTGTGGTGTTGTGTTTGTGGTTGTGTGTTTGTGGTTGTGTGTTTGTGGTTGTGTGTTTGTGGTTGTGTGCTTGTGGTTGTGTGCTTGTGGTTGTGTGCTTGTGGGTGTGTGTTTGTGGTTGTGTGTTTGTGGTTGTGTGTTTGTGGTTGTGTGTTTGTGGTTGTGTTTGTGGTTATGTGTTTGTGATTGTGTCTTTGTAGTTGTGTGTTTGTAGTTGTGTGTTTGTGGTTGTGTGTTTGTGGCTGTGTGTTTGTGTTTGTGGTTGTGTGTTTGTGGTTGTGTGTTTGTTGTTGTGTGTTTGTGGTTGTGTGTGTGTTGTTGTGTGTTTGTGGTTGTGTGTGTGTTGTTGTGTTTGTGGTTGTGTGCTTGTGGTTGTGTGCTTGTGGTTGTGTGTTTGTGGTTGTGTGCTTGTGGTTGTGTGTTTGTGGTTGTGTGTTTGTGGTTGTGTGTTTGTGGTTGTGTTTGGGGTTATGTGTTTGTGATTGTGTCTTTGTAGTTGTGTTTGTAGTTGTGTGTTTGTGACTGTGTGTTTGTGATTCTGTGTTTCTGATTGTGTTTGTGGTTGTGTGTTTGTGGCTCTGTTTGGAATAATAATTGTGCGTTGAGGTCCGGCGGGGGAACACTGGGCGCGGATGGTCGTGGTTGAGGTCCGCCAGGGAACACTGGGCACGGATGGTCGTGGTTGAGGTCCGGCAACAAACACTGGGCGCGGATGGTCGTGATTGAGGTCCGCCAGGGAACACTGGGCGCGGATGGTCGTGGTTGAGTGTGGCGGGGGAACACTGGGCGCGGATGGTCGTGGTTGAGGTCCGGCGCAGAACACTGGGCGCGGATGGTCGTGGTTGAGGTCCGGCAGGGAACACTGGGCGTGGATGGTTGTGGTTGAGGTCCGGCGAGGAGGAGAAGAAGAAGGAGGAGGAGGAGGAGAAGGAGAAGTCAGCTAACATAAAATCTAACAACCCTCACCTGGCAGGTGGGGAAATAGCATTCCTTTGCTGGCGCCCTTGTCGTCCTCCCCAAAACCGCGACAAAATGATCACCAGCACTGGACCACACATGCCCATCGAACAGACTGCAAACATAATCTTTCAACGTATTTTTTTACAGCCACTTGGGGAGATAGCACTTGCTGGTGCCATTCTTGCATTCCCCACAGCCAGGCAATGGTACTATGCTCACCGGTTTAACTTAGGGGGCTGCAAAATCAAGAGAAACAGGCAAAGGATAGGATGAGTGGATTGAGCGATTGATCATTCACCTAGAGACTACCGCAAGTTACCACAGTCTGGGAAGTCATGTTGGGGGTGCCCCGTGACAACAAGCACAAACACAAACCAATCATGGTCCCAGTCCGAGTGCTCAGACTCAGCCCTGCCCTTTTCGTTGGGTCTGATATTCTCGATGCGTTTCGGCCCGCCGTCTCTTGGACCACATAGACTCCACGGCAGAGCAGTTGAGGTCTTTACCGTGGTAACACACATGCTCGCAGGCTGCTATCTTTATAGCTGACCCCGTCCATTTTTGCTGGAGCACAACTAGAGACTGCCTGGCCACTTTTTGATGCCAATGACATTAGTATTCAACAGTTCTTGCATCACTCGCATCACCACCGCCCTTATTTACATGCATTTTGACTACGTGTTGCCCGCCGCTCTTTTTTGCTCTTTTAGCAAGCTCTGGGCTCACCTTACCCGAAAGGTCTAATCTATAGTAACCACCACCACCCCCCCATGTATATATATATATATATTCACTTCGTTCGCCCGTCAAGCACTCCAGCCTACCCTATCGGCTGGCTTTCGTAACGAATTACTTTACTTCGAGTGATCCCCACCATGACATTTCAATAACGTCTTGATGCCATAGTGAGGAGCATGTTGCCATGGTCGTGAGTATTGTATTTATCGATTTTGCTTGTGGGTCCTCGGGTTGTGTGCTATGATTGTGTGTTGTGGTTGTGGTTGTGCGCTGTGTTGTGGTTGTGGTTGTGTTTGTGATTGTGTGTTTGTGATTGTGTTTTTGTGGATGTGCTTGTTGTGTTTGCGGTTGTGTTTGTGGTTGTGTTTGTGGTTGTGTTTGTGGTTGTGTGTTTGTGGTTGTGGTTGTGGTTGTGGTTGTGTGTTTGTGGTTGTGGTTGTGTGTTTGTGGTTGTGTGTTTGTGGTTGTGTGTTTGTG